GTAGGTACTTGGTACTTGTAAGGACGAAAGGTTGCACGATGAAAGTAACACTAGCCCCTAGCCCGAGCTAGCCTCTCTCTCTCTCTCTCTCTCTCTCTCACTCGCTCTCTCTCTCACTCTCTCTTCCCTGCCTCTATCGCAAAGCCACTCAAGCAAACGGGACAAGGCCCTGCGCCTCCGATGGGGATCTTAAGCGCAGCTCAGATTCGGCACGGACCTCATGTGCAGAGGCAAGAACGTCAATTCAAATGTTTGTGGTGTTTGTTTTATACAGATTTATTGGTAAAACTACAACTAATGAGAGTAATAAAAATCATTCAAGCAAAACGGCGACGGAAAAGGCAAAAGCGCAAAATAATTCATAAAATACTAAAATTACAGAGAAATTCAAAAACAAAGAACACAAGTGAAGCAAAATAAAAAAGATCTTAAAATAACTACAGAAATAGACTAAATAAGAAGGTTTCGTTATGGTCGATTTCAGTCACTATATTTCCCATTACAATTTATGGTGGTAACAGTTAATGTGCGCAGGGAGACGTGATTTCTTATCGGTGCCTGACTGCAAAGAGGGGCACAATGAGCAACCAGAGCAACAACTTTGCCAAAAGTCTGGTATATGTAGGGTTTAACACGGGTGTTGTGTCCTAATGTGTATTTTAAGATAATAAGAAGTGAAGAAACATGTCTCACAAGTCTGGCAGTCGTAAGGTTCTCACTAGTCCGAGTCCTCATGTGCATATGGAGACATTGACTTTCAGTAAACCGTTTAACAGGAGTCTGTCAGTTAGAGGGTTTCTGACCTGTGAGAGTCCTGTGGTTATTCCACATGTGTGAGAGGAGGTTGGTACTTTGGGAAACTATTTCGCCGCACGCCTTACATTTGTAGAGTTTCTCACCTGTGTGAGTTAGGGTGTTTCAAAAAAAATTAATTTTTACCAGTCGCAAATTTTTAGGTGCGTCTAGGTCGTCTGATTCCAACGCCGTCCCCCCCGTTGTCCTACGACATCGTTTACCCACTGCGCAACGCGTTTGAAACTTTCAGCCGCGTCAAGGGCCCCCACCTCCTCGCCCCTTCTCGCGCCACTGTAACGCCGCGGGTACTAGTATCGATATGAAAATTTCAGGGTATGTTCTGAATGGCTATCTTTAGACAACGGAAGGGTCGCGGCTGCAGTGGGCGGCACCCAAACCCGTACACTGTAAAGAAATTGGCTGACTACAAATTGTGAGGGGGGTGGGGGAGGATTGATCGCAGAAAAAAATCGCGAGTACCTGCATGAAGCCTTACCCATCCCCGAAGTCATCGACCACTCTGACCACTAAGCGCACTAGATCTGTGGGCGCTAGAGACACTTTACGATTATGGCCGGCCGAATCGCGCCGGGCGGACGTTTGGATGCACCGCGCAGCTCAGAGATCTGGCGCGGCACGGCACGGACCGGCCGCCCAGTCCGGCGCGCTCGGCGCGCATTGGCCGGGTGGCCGTTCCATGCTGTGCCGCGCAAGGTGGGAAAGGCGGCGCGCGGCATCAAACGGCGCGGAGCGGCTGAAATTTTCACACACGTTGCGCAGTGGGTAAACAATGTCGTAGAACAACGGGGGGGACGGCGTTGGAATCAGACGATCAATACGCACCTAATAATCGACGACTCGTCGAAATCAATTTTTTTTGAAACACCCTAGTGTGAGTCCTGGTATGTTTCAGTCCGGAGCTCTGAGCAAACCCTTTGCCGCAGGTCTAGCATTTATGCGGTCTCTCACCCGTGTGAGTCTTTAAGTGTTTACAGAGGTGGCTACTTTGAGTAAAACGTTTGCCACAAGTCTGGCATTTGTACGGTTTCTCACCGGTGTGTGTCCTGATATGTTTATTTAGTACGGAGCTCCGAGTAAATCCTTTGCCACAAGTTTGGCATTTGTGCGGTCTCTCACCTGTGTGAGTGCTTATGTGGACATGAAGGTTTGAACTTCACCTGAATCTCATGTCAGGTTGTGCATTTGTAGGGTATCTCACCAGTGTGAGTCCTGATGTGTTCGCCTAGAATGTATTTTCGAGTGAATCTTTTGCCGCAAGTCTGGCAGCTGTAGGGTCTATCACCTGTGTGAGACCTCATGTGCACACCGACTTGTTGTTTTTGAGTGAAACTCTTGCCGCAAGTCTGGCATTTGTACGGTTTCTCACCGGTGAGCGTCCTGATGTGTTTGTGGAGTGCGGTACTCTGAGCAAAACCTTTGCCGCAAGTCTGGCATTTGTAAGGTTTCTCACCTGTGTGCGTCCTAATGTGTTCACGAAGGTGCCCAAGGTGAGAAAAACGTTTTCCACACGTCTGACAGTTGTGAGGTATATCACCTGTGTGGGTCCTCACGTCTTTTCGGAGGTCAGCACTTCCCGCTGAACTGTCGCCGCAGGGTTCACCGCCGTCCAGTTTATCAGTAGCATGCGTCCGCACGTGGGCCCGGAGGAGGGCCGCCCTCCTGAAGGCCGCCCCGCAGGTCGCACAGCGGTGGTGCGCCTCCCCGGCAGCGTCCTGCTGTCCGTGGTCCTCTCCGTCCTGCGCTTGCTCCCCCCGAACACCAGCAGCGGCAGCAGGCGGCGGCTCGGCGGCGGCTGTGGAGGAAAGCGTGCAGGGTGAGCGATTAGTCGGTATAGTTCACAGGGGGCGGGCTGGGTGCGGCAGGGGGGAGGACTACCGGACCGGGGTCTAGTCGGGCCGCATGCAGGTGGGTTGGGCTTCCGGCAAGTGCGCCTTGAACCTCCCAGCGTAGGCAACCCACCCGCCTGCCCGCACGTGCCAGGTGGCCGCCGTGACACTCAGATGGAGGCGTCCTGCAGCTCCCTGCTCGCTTGCAGGTACAGTCATTGACCCTAAATACGGACGATTTTTAGAGAAAAAGGCCAGTAAAATCTGTAGTTTTGACAAAATTGAAAATCGGTGGGGATTATAAAATCTTCGGACCGAGACACACCTACCAACACCTTGAACGGTTTTTTATCACCTAAGGTGTACCCGTGAGCCGCGCTAGAAGAGTGTCCGTATTTAGGAGCCTAAGCGCCCTAAATACGGACAGCCTTTAAAAATTTTGAAAAGTGAAAAATTGTTGGAGGGAATAGAAACTTCATGAAAAAATTTGACCTTACCCTGCCGGTCAAATTTTCTTATCTGTTATAGTTTAGCCGCCAGAATTGCGTAAAGATCGTTTTTAAAGTCGTTTAAAGTGCCCTAAATACGGACAGCAGTCACTTTTGCATGTAAAATCCTCTGTCCGTATTTAGGAGACTTTCGGAAATCGCTTCTCAAACTTGACACAAGTGACATAGACAAAATTTTCTTGTGTCATCTTGTAGGTGAAGAGTCCTAGTTTCACATATGTCAACCTGAAAGTTGTGCGATCACCCGCCGATGAGAGCCCCACATTCTTGCAAAGCAGTATAAAAATTGTCCGTTTTCGTGGCGCCCCAAAACGCAAGTTTGGCATTTTTTGGAGAGAACAGTATGCAAGATATCGGAAATATTTCTTCAAATCTAGATTCTAGAAGGTCTAACCTTTCCAGTGAACCCTCGGCATCTGTATTCCGGCTACCTGTTTTCGATTTAGGGGCTTTACTAGTAGAAAACAGCAAAGTGTCCGTATTTTGGACGCTAGTCCGTATTTAGGGCACTTGACTGTACTTTAATGGCCGAAAGGTTGCAGCAAGAAGGTAGCGCTAGCCCCCCTCTCTTTCTCACACTCACTCGCTCCTGCACGTCCTCACGGCGCGGACGGCGGCAGCGGCGCCCCTCCCGAGGCCAAGGCCATAACTTTCGAAAAGTTACCGATGGGTTCCCTACTCCTAGAATAGGTGTGACAGGTCAGGTGGCTTACGGACGCCGCACACTTTCGTACTGTACCGCATGCACGCGGGCGCGTTGCCTACTCGCACGGGGTCACGAGGCAAATCCACTCGCGTCCTTGCATGCGGTACAGTGTGACTACGAAAGTGCGTGGCGCGAGTCAGCCAACTAATACAGCGAGTTAGCGAGTTAGCGCAGTTTTCGACGAGTTTGGCGTGACTTTTCGCAGATTAAGTGCGAGTTTTCGCGAGTTGGACACGTGACAGTGTGCTACGAGTTAGCTAGCGCTGGGACCTCGAAAGTGCGAAGCAGTGGAGAGTAATGCAACAAACGGAGATCCAGAGACAACTTGGCCCCGGTCGGGGGAAGATTACCATAGGGTCGGGGTACTCGATGTGAAAAGAGAGCCCTACAGGGCGCCGTATACCCGGTGTGCGTACAAACTGCGCCAGATGCAGAATATGCACAATCGAGGTCGAATCATGACCAAAGCGGTCAAAGGACTGCTGAATCGTGAACTTTAGGCAAAGCTATCCGCGTCGGGCCATATCTGCACAGGGCTGCACCGAATTTCATTTATTTGAAGTGGTTGTTTTTACAGATTTATTGATGAAACTACAGTGAACAGAGAGTAATAAAAATTACTTAAGTAAAATCAACGACACGCAAAAGCAAAAGCCCAAAATGATTTACAACACAATAATATTTACAGAGTGGTTTAAAAAGCAAACAAACAACAGAGGTTAAAAAGGGAACTATTAAAAATAACTAAAATAACTAAACAACTAAAGCAAAAGTCTAGTAAATGAAGGGTCTAACACCTGTGTTGTGTCCTTATGTTTGTGAGAAAACGGCGTGGTGAAACCTGCGCCACAAGACTGGCAGTTAATCACGTGAGTGAGTCCTCATGTGGTAACGGAGCTGGCTAGTTTGTGAGAAACGATTGCCACAAGTCTGGCATTAGTAAGGTTTCTCACCTGTGTGAGTCCTCATGTGTACACCAAGGGCGCTGCTTCGAGAGAAACGTTTACCACAACTCTGACATTTGTAGGGTTTCTCGCCAGTGTGAATCCTTGCGTGCACACGTAAATTGCTACTAAAAGAGAACAGTTTGCCGCAAG